GCTGTTCTCCTCTCCCTGAGCTTGGAGAATTGTATAACTTAGTGTCAGGGTGGAGGGGCGTGTGTGTGTGTGTGTGTGTGTGTGTGTGTGTGTGTGTGTGTGTGTGTTCTACATTCTTCTTAGTCTTTCCTATATTATATTGAAAAAAGTCTAAAAGTGGAGAATTTTGCTATCTTTTTCCTCATGTTCTTTTGTGATACTTCTCGTTCTTGGGCAGTCTTGGCCTCAATGTTCTGACCCACTCAATGGGCGAAGGAAGATTTGGACTCAGGGTCGTGAAGGGGAAAAAACACACCACTTAGTATTTCGTACACCATCCCAGCATGAAGACAGTTTCACAAAAAGCTTGGTAACTAATTACTGTTACTGTACCCCATTTTTCAGATGAGGAAACAAACTCAGAGAAGCTAAGTTGCTTAAGGCCATCCAGGTAGAAAGAAGTGGACTTGAAACCAGGCGCAGCCCACGCTTTACAACGTCTCTGCCACGCAGTGAGTCATCTGGAAGAGCAGCATCACTCTCCCCTGATTGTGAGCTTTGCCACTTTCCTGTGTCTTCCCTGGCCATGACCTGCTAGTGAGGTGGCCCACATCACCCCTCATCAGGGTCTTGCTGAACCAACCCTGAAATTGCGTGGCAGGCTGGTCACTGAGCGATGGACCATCCAATCACCCTGTTTTTATAACGATGTGAATTTTCTCTTCTGTTGTCTCATTCATTCCCAGAATTCCCCACTTCCTATTTGTTCAAGATATGGAGGTCCTGTCATGCCATACACATGAAACACGAATTTTATGAATCTTTACTAATAACGAATGAATGTGTATCAAAGGGTTAAAGTCCTCTGAAGTTGCTGGGCCTTAGTCCTCTGGGGTCTGTGGTGCCAGGGCCTCCTTAGCTTCTCCTCAGCTATCAGATTCATGGCTGGAGACATCTCCAGGGATCTCAGCCACACATGCTTCCCTTCTGTGTGACCCAGGACAGAACTCAGAGTGAAGTTGTATTGATTTCATGAGAAGCCGGGCCTGCATTTTTTTTTTTTTTTTTTTAACTCTGGGTTCATTGTCTCCTGCTTCAGAGATGGCTGATGGCCATCATTTTTTGTGTGGAGGATTAATTAGAATAGATTCCTTTGACTCAGGCTGCCAATAAAACCTACAGTCTTCAGCTATCGATTTATGATGCTGAGCAGTAAACCGTGAGTCCCGTAACAGGCCCCAAGAAAGCTGTGGTAACAGGCATTTTGATGCCCAGGTAGTGGATTGGGGCGATGAAAAGGAATAAGAACAGGTGAGGAGACTTGGGGGGCCAGGCTGGAGAAGGGAGATGGTACGAGGGCCGCCGTGCGTCCGTGGATGGGAAGAGGATCTCATTTCCTGTGACCGAGATGTGGCTGAGAAATCGAAAGGGCCATTTGTGAACTTTGGTGGCGAGACGATTGTGAGCAAATTAATAGCTAGATATCCGAGATGTGTGTTCTTATGCAGATAATTGAGTTCTGAAGAGAGAGATCACTGGTCCTTCAACTTCCCTATTGTCTGAGAGTCCAAATTATGATAAAGTTCTAACCATTAGTCCCCAGATGACCTCTCAATTTAATTCAATTCAATCAGGATTTACTAGCATCCTCTGTGTTGGCGGGAGGGACAGGGTATGAAGGGTATACAGGAGCAGAAGGCAAGCTCCTTTCTCTTAAGGAGTTTATTATGCGTGGGGCAGATATTTTTTAAAAAATATAGACTTAATTTTTAGAGCACTTTTAGGTTCACAGCAAATTGAGGGGAGGTACAGAGATTTCTCATATACCTCCTGTCCCTCTGCATGCATAGCCTCTCCCGTTATCATATCCCCCACCAGGGTAGCACATTAGTGACAATGGATAAACCTACACTGACACCCCATCATCACCCTCAGTCCATAGTTTATTTTAGGGTTCGCTCTGGGTATCGTACATTCTATGGGTTAGACAAATATGTAATGACATATGCATCATTATGGTGACATCAGAAACAGTTTCACTGCCCTGAGAATCCTCTGTGCTCTGCCTCTTCCTTCCTCCCCTGCAACCCCTGTTAACCACTGATCTTCTTACTGTCTCCATAGTTTTGTTTTTTTTTTCCCAGCATGCCATGTAGTTGGAATCATAATACTATGTAACCTTTTAATATTGGCTTCTTTCACATAGCAATATGCATTTAAGTTTCCTCCATGTATTTTTATGGTTTGAGAGCTCATTCCTTTTTAGCACTGAGGAATACTCCATTGTCTGGATGTATCACAGTTTATCTCTTCGCCTGCTGAGGTCCATCTTGGTTGCTTGCAAGTTTTAGCAATTATAAATAGCGCTGCTGTAAACGTGGGTGTGCAGATTTCGACTCCTTTGGGTGAATACCAAGGAGTATGGTTGCTTTTATCATATGTTAAGAAGTATGTTTAGTTTTGTAAGAGGCCATGGGGCAGACATCTTCACACATAGTTAGAATACAGAGTATGATACTCGGGGTAGGGGTAGCATAGAGAGATTTAGACTGAGGGCCAGATGAGAGAAGTTTTCATTTGAGGATAACCTTAAGTAGGCAAAGGTTCAGGCAGAGTAATCTTCATAAGAAGCATGTGCATAGGATTTTTTTTTCTTGGATACTACTGTGACTGGAGCTTAGATATGTGTTTATAGATAAAGCTCAAAATGTAGGTTTTGGCCAAATCGTGAAATCACGTGGCATTTGTTTTTCTCTATCTGACTTCATTCAGCGCAATACCCTCTAGGTCCATCAAGGCAATATCTTCTTCCATCCCCTTCCTTTTAGTCTGTGAGTCTCTTTTAATCTGAAGCGAGTCTCTTGTAGGCAGCGTATGTAAGGGTCTTGTTTTCTATCCATTCAGCCACCCTATCTTTTGGTTGGAGCACTTAATATTTTTTTACATCTGAAGTACTTGTTGATAGATATGTAGTTATTACCATTCTTTATTCATGTTTTTGATACATGTTTTTTTCTTTTTCAAGAAGTCCCTCCATTTCCTGTAATACTGTCTTGATGGTGATGAACTCCTTTAGCTTTTTTTTTTTTTTTTTTTGGAAACTATCTGTTCTTCGACTTTAAATGATAGCTTTGCTGGATAAAGTAGTCTTGGTTGTACATTCTGGGTTTTCATCACTTTAAATATTTTGTGCCAAGCCCTTCTGTTCTGCAAAGTTTCTTTTGAGAAATCAGCTGCCAGTATTATGAGTGCTCCCTTGTAGGTAACTAACTACTTTTCTCTTGCTGCTTTGAAGATTATCTCTTTGTATTTAACTTGTGGCATTTTAATTCTATGTGTCTTGGTGCGGGCCTCTTTGGGTTCATCTTTTTTGGGACTCTTTGAGCTTCCTGGGGTTGTATGTCTACTTCCATCTCCAGGTTGGGGAAGTTTTCCATCATTATTTCTTCAAATAGATTTTCAACTTCTTGTTCTCCCTCTTCTCCTTCAGGTACCCCTATGATACAGATGTTGTTACATTTAATTTTGTCTCATAGGCTCCTTAAATTATCATATTTTTGGATTCTGTTTTCTTGCTCTTCTGATTGGGCGACCTCCGCTTCCCCATCCTGTATATCGGTGATTCGATTCTCTGCTTCATCCACTCTGTTGATTCCCTTTAATTTACTCTTCATCTCAGATAATGTATTCCTCATTTCTGACTGGTTCCCTTTTATAATTTCCATTTTTATGTTTTTTTATCTCTTTGTTAAACTTATCACTGGATTCACCTACACTTCCCCTAAGTTCATTGAGCATCCTTATAACCAGTGTTTTGAACTCTGCATCTGTTAGATCGCTTGACTCAGTTTTTCCTGGAGCTCTCTTCTGTTCTCTCATATGGTTTCTGAGAGAAACTTTGAGAACAGAAGAGAGCTCCATTTTGGCTGCCTTTTCATGTCTGTTTCTAATTACTAAGCAAAGCTCCTAAGTCTCCCGGTCTTATTAGTGTGGCTTTGTGTAGTAGGTGTCCGATAGCACAGTCCTGAGAGGGGTCCAGCTGCAGGCCAAGTTTAGCCCCAGCCTGTGCCCCTCTGGGGCCACCTGGTAAAATTCAGGAAGCAATTCACAGATGCCGTGCTTATGGTTGCCTCAAAAGGCCATGCCAGAAACCGAGGCCAGCTGCCACCAGTGTGGGGCTCAGAGCTGCTCTGCAAGGGGCATAGGACACGCTGAGGACACAACTGGATGTGGCTTGGGTGGGGCCGGGAGTCAGGGGAGGTGAAGTTTCAGGGAATCCCCTGGGTAGAGAGACCTTTGTTATCCAGTTTGATGACGTCTCAGCTATGGTGGCGCTGCGTCTGCACATGGGGTAGGGGGAGCTCAACAGAGGAACAATGGATACCACCAGCACTTCTGCTCAGGAGTAAGCTTAGCCTCCAGCCCTCGCTCCAACAACCCAGTGTCCCCCAGTAAGTCCCTGGTATCCCCTGAGCAGCCAACCCAGTGCTGATGCTTAGAGCGAGCAGGTCTGTCACCGCGAAAGTCTGCTCCAGACATGGCCCCTTTAAGAGGAGCGTCTGCAACTACTGTAGCCTCAGCCACTTGAGACCGGGCAGCCTTGTGTCTTCACCCGCTCCTACCATTGCAGGGTGAATTCTTATTTCTCTCCCTAGTTGTAGGGCTTTTGTTCATCTAGACCCCAGGCAACTCTGCTTGCTGTTTGCTCTGTGTTTCTGTTTACAACTTTGATGTCCCAAGAGATGTACAAAGCCTCTACCATCTACACCATTTTTCTCAGTCTCTATTATCTCTAGAATTTAAGGACTGGTAGGCTTAGCGGTTGAAGGAAAAGATACATTAGAAATGTTTAATAGATTTGCAGCCTGAGCATCATCTTTCCTAATTCCCTTTTCCCTCTGGCCCTTTCCCTCCTTAGGGACTTGGTGGTTGTAAGTAGAGTGTATCTGGGAACTCAGGGTACATGGCTGAGTGACCAGTTAACAGACAGGGGATTAACCAGGTACTACTTTTCTGCCTAGGTAACTGGGGTAGGAGCTGCAGGAGAGCCAGGCAGTGTGAACACAAGAAGAGGACATGTGGCTCTGTACCAAGAGGCTCTGCTTCTGACAGCCAGGTGAGCATCTCCCTCTGTGACCCCAATTTGTCATTTATGGATAACTTCCTGGCCTCAGGAGACTTCTGTAATGATGAAAAGAGACCATGTTTCTTTTTTAGCAGATAAAATGCTAAAAACACAAGGGTTATTATGACTCTTTTAGGAGAGAGCGTGATAGAGCCAGTCAACCTGGGTTTGAGTCTTGCATCTGCTCCTTACAACCTTTGCGATGATAGATAATGTAAGTGCTCCATTCCTCAAGTTTCTCCTCAGTAACGTGGGCTAATAATAGTCATTCCCTGTGAGGGCTGTTGTAAGGTGGACTGAAATAATGAATACAGTGCCTGACACACTGTTGGTACTGGAGGAATGTTTGCAGTGATGACGATGATGCTGTCACCGATGCCATCGCATTGCCAGTGAATAATCCTAGCATGGCTTTTGTCATCACATAAGCCCAGCAAAACTGTGCTGCTCCCCTCTGTCCTTGTAGCTCCTGCCCAAATTCATGTTCCAGCTTGAAGTCTCATTGCATCACAGAATGTCATAGCCGTTCAGCAAAGAAGGACTTCTGGGGACATCTAGTTCAATACTTCATCTGTTCCTTAACCACTGACTAGAAGTAATCCTACCTCCCGTTTACAGGGAACGCTCTACTCTGGGCAGCCTAATTCATGGGCAGATACATTTAATAGTTGGACTCCTCGTCTTTTTCCTAATATCTTGTATGTGTGTGTGTGTAATCCACCCAAAAGAATTGCTTCCAGGGCTTTTTCTTTGGTACTCTCGCAGGAAGCAAATCCTTCATAAAACATTGATTGTTGAGGGGGGAACGATGATAGAAAACACAGTGAGATCATTATTCTTGATTTGGAAATGTAGATGAATAAGTAAGATCAATTGAGAACAGCTACATCCCTATGAACTGTTTTTTTTCCCTTGCCGAGGGAACTTCCAGATTCAATGAGAGGTAGTGAGCTTCATGCAGCAGGAAGGATTTGGATTAGACAGCCAAGAACTTCCTGCCTGGGAAGTAATAGGAGGAAGTTGAGGCTTCTCTTAATCACCCCCGTGTCTCCTCTGAATGTGTCGTTTTCTCTGGTCTGGAGACAGAGGTACATTAAAGAAATCTGGAAGGTGCTTTCATCCCAGGAGTTTACTAACTGCAGGAAGGGAAGGGAGGAGGAAAGAGAGGAAAATTCTATTCAAATCCACTCTGTTAAGGAGAGGTTCAGTGGAGAGGCCAGTGTCCCTGAATGACTTATTTGACCTCTTGACAGTATTTGACCTCTGACAACTGGAGGAGCTCACTGGCTTGGGTCTCTCTCTAACATTCCCCACCCCGCTGCACCCACCACACACACGCCCTGGCCCCAGGATTTGCACAGAGAGCACTCTGACTGGCTTCCAGGTTGACCTCGTTAACACCAATATCACCTACTATGGGTTGTGAGAACTCTTTGGTCATAAAAATAATAGCAATACAGTAAAATTCTTGGCTATCTAAAATGCCTCAGGAAATGAAGCATTTCGGATAGTGGAATTTTCCATAAAGCTGAGAATTTTTCCATTTAAGTAAAGACTCTTTCTATTTTTTTTTAAAGATGGATCTAATCGATATAACATTTTTTTTTGTTTACTTGGAGACAATAAGTGAATGATAGTTGTTCTATGCCAGTCATATAGTAATCCCCTAGGGGGTTAATGAACTACATTGCTTGCCCCCAAACCAAATGCTGAAACCTTTGTGATTATTGAGCGTGTCTGTCTGCTTTTTAGTTTTTCTGACCCTACTCGCTTCATGATGTCTTTACCTTTCATTTCTTGCCATATCAGCGCATCTGACTCTAGTGGTCTCATTTTTTTCTTTGCATTTCTCTGTCTTATCTCCATCTGTAAACCATAAGCTACCATTGACCTTACATATCCTTTGTCCAGTAACTGGTATCAGACCATTCAAAATAGAGGCTCAGTATTTACATTTATATTAAATTATTTGTTCAATAAACACCTATTAAACATACATTCTATAGGAGGCAAATTGGTAACTGCTGGGGATACAATGATTGAAAACTCAGATGAACTGACTTGCTCCTTTTCCCAGGCTAGCAATTCACTTCCGAAGCACGTGCGGGCTCAACCCTCCCTACAAGGCAGCTCTTCTCCCACGATCTGCCAACCTAGTGGTTCTCACACCTGAGCGAGCCTCGGAATGACCTGGAGGGCCAGTTCAACACACGTTGCTGGGCTCCTCTCCCAGAGTTTCCGATTCTTGGGTGGGACTCAAGGATGTTCATTTCTAACAGGTTCCCGTGCGATGCCGTTGTTGCTGGTCTGGGGACCACACCTGAAGCACCATTTTAGCCATGTGACCTTTACTCTGCTCCTCAAACGCCAGCCTCGCTTCTACCTTCAGGCATTTGCCTCAGCTGTGTCCTGTGTCTGATCCTGGCCTGGCTGCCTTGTTTCATCACATCCTTAGACGCGCCTTCCCCGAGCATCCCAGTGGATGTTGCTCTCCCCGTCCTAGGCACTCAGTGTCAGCTTCCTTGGTTCTTAGACTTCTCTTGCTCTCTGAAATCATCTTTGTACGGTTGTCTCATGGGTGACTGTGATTGATGAAGAGATACCAACAGACCGAGGCAAAGGACACGCATTTCTTTAGTGTAATTAAAGAAAATAAGAGTGTACGTGCATGAGGAGAGCCACAGGGGACAGGACAGCATTTTTTTCGTGGGAGGTCCTTCAGCTGACCAAGGTGAGGCACCCCCTCTGTCTTCTGAGAGCTCTCACTCATCCATTCGCAGGGTCTTTCCACTCTCCTGATGCCTGTTTACTGATCTGCGGACTCAGAGTGTTTTCCGCAAAGTCGGTTTCCCCGGTGAAATATCTTGTAGGCGGGATGGAATTTCAGACTTGCCTGTGTGTATTCCTGTGGGCTCATATTATTTATTTATTTGTTGTTGTCTTATGCATCTTATTCATTTGTTTATCTGTCTCTCTCCTCCCTAGTATATTAGCACCATGGGGGAGGGGCAGGCGTTGACTCTCTTCTTTACTGGTGTTTCCTGTGGGTGCTACCCAGAGCTGAACCTGGCAGAGAAGGAACATTTATTATCTGTAAGCTCCCTCCTTCTTCCCTCACCTAATAGAGAACTTAAGTATGTGCCTCTTGAACATAATTTAATTCTTTCAGGGACCTGAACATACACATCTCCAAAGAAAGCCTCTCCTGTGCCCCGTAGCTCATTTCAGAGAGAGCCACAGAAGAAGAAAGGCAAATATAAGCCAGAGGAAACGTGCCTCTTTCTGTATCTTAATGTAGCAAGAGCTCTCAGGCCAGAGGCTGTCTGCTCAAGGTCAGCTTTCTTTTTTCTTCCTCTCATTTCCCCTGTTCTTGCGCATTGCTCCGACTTCAGAGCTGTAATGACAAACCTATTACTGCAACAAGACATCAGAAGAGGGAAATGAGACAAAGTTACCGAGGAAGAACGAGATGCAGCACCAACCCAAGCCTTGCTGGAGAGCCTGCAGGCTGTCGAATAAGGGGTGTCAGTTTAATTGCAGCTTTCTCTCTTGGCATGATATAGGTGTATCTGTCCTATGCCTCTGTGTTCTCTATTACGTTCACAGATTATTTTGCTATAGGATGTTAATAGTGTCTGCAAAGATGAAGTATCATCTTTGCTTTCTTTTGGGTTTCTGCCGCCACCCCCACTGCTCTTTGTTTAACTGTTTCTCCAGCCAGATGAGAATCCCTTTGAAGACAGGGAGCACATCTTGCTGAGCGTTACCTGACAATTCTGCTTTTCTCTCAGAAGCATGCACAGGGGCGGCACATGACAAGCATCTGCCACTTCTCATGGAAGCAAATTCTTCGTTTCTTCTCCTAGCCCCTTCTCCTCCCTCTTTGTCAGTTGAGTCAACCCAGGGAGGTAATGGGTGATGCTGACTTCCCTTCCTTTCTCTTCCCAAGGAGAGCCTATCACGTTGTGGCGATTCATTCATTTATTTAAATGTACTTATTGAGAACCGTGCTGTGTCAGGCTCCATGCCATGCACGGGAAAGATAATGGTGATCAAGACAGACTCAGTTCTAACTCTCTTGAAGCTTATATTCTAATAGGAGAAGCAGACAGCAGTGATTTAGCTAACAAGTAATTAAAATTTGGTAAAAGCTATGAATTAAAAACAAGGGGTTTAAGATGGTGGGTAATGAGAAATGTGACCTCCTTTCCATGGGACAGTCAGGGATGGACTCTCTGAGAGTGAATTTGGGACCTAGAAACTGAGAATCAGCCAGCTCTGTTGAAGAATGAGGGGATAGGCACATGCAAATGTCCTGAGGTGAGCAGTGTCCTGCTGGAGGAACTAAAAGAAGCTCAGTGTGGGAAAGGCAGAAAATGGCATGAATCTAAGCTAGAGGGGCGGGCCAGGCTTATGCCGCGAGTTGTATGTTCATTTTGTTTAAATCCAGAGTGTCCTGCTCTGTTCCTCTTTCTGTTGGTTAGATCTTAAAGAAGCCATGGTTTCATTCTCACACTTTAGTGTACATCACATTCTCCCAGGGAGCTTGTAAAAGTGATACAGTACACATAGTAGCTAAGGCTTTAGTAGAAAGCCAGCTCAAACCAACTTAAGCAAAAACAAAACAACAGTTAATGGCTCCCCACTTTGGAATCAAGGGGCGCACTGGCTTCAGGCACGACTGGATCTAGCAGTTAAAATGATGTCATTAAAGCTCCCCCTCCCTCCTGTTCTTGATGCCAGACGGGGAGAGCCATTGCCTGTAGTTTTGCTTCTATTGAAGTTGGTTTGAGTTGGCTCTCTATTAGAGCCCTAACTGCTATGTGTGCTCTATCACTTTTTTAAAGTTCTTCTTAGGAATGCTCTCTCCACATGGTGCTAAAAATAGGTATGGGAACTCCAGGCTTATATCCTTGATATAAAATATTGATT